CCCGCTTTGTGCAGCGGAAGGACCGCAAGGCCCCTCCTTGCCTGGCTCCCCTGTGGAAGCGGTCGCAGCGAAATCAGCATCTGTGTATGTAAGCTCAGAGCGCGTTCGCTGGTTGCACTGGTGGCGATCCTCGGCACCGAAGGGCTGCTCCTGGGGGAGGCAGCCTGCGGTGGAACAGCCGAGGCTTTGCGGGTGCCAAATGGCTGCTCGGGAGCCTTCAAGTGCATCGCGCACGGTTAGTTTTGTAGCGCCCGCCCGGGTTTGCTTCTCCCAGAGGGTCTTGCCCTGCCTTGAAGGCAGAGCCTTAGCGAACAGACCACAAGCAAACTCTGAAAGCGTATCTTTTTTATAAGGAATTTCTAAATGAATTCCGATCGTTGTTTCCCCGAAGCCTGGGAGGGAACCATCTCTTACCATTTATTTAACTGCATAGGAGGGATGCTGGGGCACTGCACAAATGCTTTTCAATTCCCAGAAGAAACAAGATTAATAAGTAATCACTGTAGCCTGGCAGGGATGTGGTCTGGAAAATTCCTTCTCCAATTTGATGGCTTTTAGGTCAAAACAAAGGGTAGAAAACTGTAAGTATGTGAAACAAATTTCTGCTGCAAACTGTGGGAACCTGTGAAAGTTTGAATAACTTATGTGGCTGGAAATTTCTTTTTTTTTTTTTTTTTTTTTTTTTTTCCTTCCTTGGGGCTCAGCTGTACTTGACTTTGTTAAGGGTGAACTTCAGTTATTTTATTTATGGGCACATTGTGCCGCCTTCCGACAGAGATGACCCCGCAACTCCACCCTGGCCCCTAGCAACTCATCTGCCACTTGTTAATGGCAGCACACTTAAAACCCACTCTTACTGAGATTTAGGTATGGGACTAGGGATGTACTGATGTTTAACACAGAGTAACTGCTGCCCATCAGCCACTCTTACACACTGCTGTGCAGGCTAATTAAAGCACCTCTGTCGTTCTCCCAGGTATCATCTTGTAACTCTGCTTTTTACTTGCAGTGAATTAGTCAAGTGCAAATCGTGCTGCAGTTCCTTGCCCTGCGTACATACACGTGCAGGTTTCTCTTCTGGCCACTGCAACAAAAGAATAAATGAGTCTCTCGTCCCAGGAGACCGCAGTCAGTGTCGCAGGAGAAAAAAGTTTCTGCTGAATTTGGTGTGTGTGGCAGATGATGGCAAAGCCTCGCTGGGAGTTTGAGGTCCGTGGCACCTCTGGGCACAGCGTGTTGTCAGGAGGTGGCTGCTGAACTGCAGTGTTTTACAGCCAGGAGGGAGTGAGCCACCGCTTCCAGCACCCCGATAGCAGAGCCTCCGCTTGGCCTCTGGAGACCCTCCTGGGTCACCGTTTGTGAAAGCTGGGAGCAGGCTGCACCTCAGCCGGGCCACCGACCTCCTCTGCAGACCCAGCCGTGGAATCTGATGCTCCCAGGGGACAAGTATGTATTGCATTACCTGCATCGTAGCGCTCTGGTGAAGAGATCTGCCTTCCAGCTTCCACCTACTGCCCATTGAGAACTATGGCGCCAACAGAATTAGCAGAAAGGGACATGTACGATGATTTTAGTGTAATAGCAGATATCCTGGCTCACTTCAGCTCCACTTAACCCCTGACTTTAAGTGGGTATGAGAGATTTGTGAGATTTGCTTGATAAGTTTAAAAAGAAAAAGCTGTGCTGTCCAAAAGGGAGGAAGGGACTGCAGTAGAGCTTCAGGCTGTCGGAGGCTCTGCCTGTACCTCTGTCTATGCATCCCTTCTTCGCTAGCTATCCGAGGTGAAAATTAGTGCTCTGTCACGAGAAGCTGCTTCAGGAAAAGGTGTGCTTGATATCGGCCAATTTTCTTCTTTTGATATCAGCCAATTTTCTTCTTTTGATATCGGCCAATTATTTTCTTCTTCTTCTTTAGCTTTGCTTTCCTCCCGTAGGCAGCGCTTGCTGCCCGAGCCTTGCTCTGTCGCCCTGACGCATACCTGCGGGGTACACTTGCAGTGACAGGAGAAGAAGGTTCCTTAACCGCAGGGAAGCACCGTGTGTAAGAAGGGAGCAGGCCACTGCTGGGGGGTCGCTGTCCATGTGTCTACACATTGTGTGAGCTTAAAGCGGAGACCTGTTCTGTGTTGTGTGCTTCTGGACCTTTCTCTTTCTGACCTTTGGATTCTCCCCAGAGCCGAGTTCTGTTGCCGCCTTTGGCTCACAGGACCTGTAGTTATAACAGAGCTACACTAACTTCTGAACTCTCATAGCGGAGACTGCCTTGCTGAACCACTGCTCGGGAGTCACCTGCTCACTGTCCCCCGTGTCTTCCTCTTCCATTCCCGACCCAGCTCGTTCAATCCTATTGTTTCCCTGTTAAGCAAGAGGCAAAAAAGCAGCATTTGATCGAGTTCGCAAGGATGGTGGCAGGCTCTTTGTAAGCAGCTTGTGACTGCGGGGAAACCACACGTGAAGGTGACATCAGTGTGACAGTATAAATCTTGCCACCGTGACTCCAGAAGTGCTGAATGTGAGCTGCAGGTGTAGCTAATGTAACTGGACATGAAATGGAAATGCCTCGTTCTTGCATTTCCACATTTGTTTTCAGCTGTTGTGCCTGTGCCCATCCTTTCTTTCCCTCCTGCATCAGATGTTATAACCTAAAAATAAAATGTGTTGTGCAGGGGAACGGGAAACGAGATAGCACAGCAGATTTCAGCTTCCATTACCATCGCACCGGTGCTGTGCTGAGAAGCTTTCTGCTGGTCAGGGACATCCGCCTGGGTCGCAGTGGTGCGCAGCTGAGACTGAGCTGATGCTCATCTGCTCTCTGGCCTGGAATTAGTTCATGCCCCAAATAAAAAAAAAAAAAAAGGGATTGAAGAAGGCAAAAGGTTGTTATTTCTTTGAGGCGAGCATAACCCTTGTAAATCTCTGAAAGGGAAGGGAATAGATTTGCTTGCTGTGCTGCCATCATCTGCAGTGACTTGAAAAGGTCTCTGGGTTGAGGCGGTGATGAACTGTTATGCCACTAATTTAAGCCACTGATAGGGCACTGGCAATGGTTTGGTCTGTCTGTGGTAGACCGATGACTTAACTGGACTAACTGGGATAGCTGTGTCATTTTACAGGTGTTCGGAGAAGACTTTGAGTGGACCGGGGGGCTGAAGGTTGCTTTTGTATTCCAGCCTCCTTGCCTACTTTAGTCTTGACGTGTAAGTTAACGGTACAAGGCAGCTTTGCCTATTGCTCTTTGTACTGACTGGCAGCAAAGACTAAAATCTCTTTGGCTTTTAGTTCAACGCACTTGAAACTTGCTACAGCGCAGGTGCCGTTTGCACGCCTGCTTATGTGTGTTTCAGAACTGGGCTTTCTCTCCCAGCAGGCTTGTAAAGCGTGTCTTGGAGAAAGAGAGAGAGAGATCTCCTTTTTGAAGACTGCAGGGGGCTTGTGAAACCTGGAGGTGCTGTGTGATCCTTCTGGTGTATAAGCAGCCTGCTTTTCTGCCTCTCCTGTGCTTCTGAAGGTGGGAGTACAGGGTGGGGTTTGGGGGTTTTTTTGTTTGTTTGTTTTTTCTTAAGCTAAGACTTGAAAATCTTGCTTGGCTTGCTGCTTTTGTTGTTCCTACCTCAGGAAGTACTGCATTAAGCAAACCAGCTAATTTTGGCACTTGATATGCCTGGAGTTAACTCCTTTTCTCCCTGGTGTAAGAAAAAACTGGGAAGTGAAGTCTGTTTGGTTTCATTGTCATGTGGTGGTTCTTGATATGCTCTTGGTCTTGCACCTTGTTCAATACTAAGCAATAGTCCACTCCTTGGCTTTTTAGAGCAAGACTGAAATGAGCTGTGTTCTCGCCTGAAAGCTGTGATTACTTCTGCAGGCCAGTGCCAGGGACCCCTAATCAACCTGCTAGCTTTTGCTTAAACTCTCGAGCCTTGTCTAGTAGTCTTACATTTAAGCGTTGCATAAGACTAGTCTTGAAAAACAGCCTTGTAAGGCTGACGTTAACCTTGGGGAGGGTGAGCACCGAGCTGACCAAAGCTTGTTCCAACTTACTTTCTTCAGGGTTTTTTGGTGTACTGGATTGCCTGGGTTTCACTGCTTGCAGTTCCTGTCTGGGGTTTCTGGCCACACCAGGCAAACTCTAGCTTGTAAGGCAGCCCGAGTAAGACCTATGTGAGGGTCCGTGTGCGTGTTAGTACCTCACAAGGAAATGGTTTATCAAACTGTAGGGCTTATTCTTCTGCACATACATTTTTGGTAATGTCAAAACTTGCTGTTTTGTTGCCCCAATGCTGTATAGGACCTCCTAGCGTTTTTTAACATAAAAACAGAGAAGTGTGTAGTGTTACCTTGCCATAAACCTGCATATAGTGACATTAACAGAGCAGAAACACATCTGCTTATGTGCCAGATCACTGTTTTAAAAGCTTAACTTTTTTTTTTTCCTGTTTATATTCGGTTAACTCTACATTGTAACGTAGCTTGAGGTAAGTCCCTTGGTTAATTGGGCAGTTTTTTAAGGGAGGAACTGATGCAGAACCAGCCTGTGGTTGGGAATTCCCTGGCAAGGGCCAAACACCACCACCACAACCCAAGGAAAGCATGCACCTGGAGCTATGGGATGGGCAGGCTGCAGAGCTCAAGAAGGAGACGGTACAGAAAAATGCACTGATAATAACTCCTGCAGAACCGGTACAGTGGGGCCGGGGAGAACTGTCCCCTGCCCCCTCTGCTCCCCCCAGCTCGGTATCCGGGCCTTAGCAAGGGGGCACAGCACATCTCATTTAGCCTTTGCTGCTCTGTTTGATTCCTGATCCCTGTTTCAGTATGTTGAGAGCATGTCTAGAGCATGCCTTTAAATGAGAAGAGCTTTGAGCTGGAAAAGGAGATGCTTCTTTGCTGCCTTTGAACGATAACATCCTTAATATTCCTGCCTTCCAGTTCTGTACGCCGGGATAATTGAGTTGTGCTGAATTACGAGTGGTGTTTGAAAACCTCCCCTGTCAGCTGTCCTGCTTTTGCCTCTGGTGACTGATGTGGTTGATTCCTCTTGTCTTAAATAGCAGCCTAACGAGCGTGCTTTGGGCAGAGTTCATTTTAAGGTGGGTATGGATTTAAGCGTGGTAGCAGATGCTCTGCTGGCCAGCTGGATTTCACTACTGCAAGAGAAATTGCAGACCAGGCTGTGGCGAAACTCCCGTTGCTTTATTGTGGTTTTCCAGAGACCGCTTACTGGGGAAGACCCTGTAAGTTTTGATTTACCCTGCTGCACCATCAAGTTTTTCCTACTGATGAATGCAATGATCTGCTCTGAAAAATGTGAGCAAGAGTGAAATGGCACCTCTGCTTTGTCCTCTGCTTGTTCTCACCCTTGCTATAACAACTCCTTTTAGCATATCAAGAGCATTGCACTTTGCTTTTTGTTTGTAGTTTTGCCTCAGCAAAACAGCCTTTCATAGCTGTAAAGGCTTACGGAAGAAAGTTTCTGGCAATATCTGTAGGAGTTGCAGTTCTTTACTGTGCAAATGCTGAAATCCGTGTCTTGCTTTAATGTTTCTTGGAGCTCAAATATTTTTGGATAAACAAAGCATTTCACGTACTGTATAAACCGCTTACAGGCAACCTTTTTACCCTCAGACTGGAATGCAGCCATCGTGAGCGCTGCAGCTGAACAAGGAGCTCTAACATAGTTGAGGGCCAGGAGTGGGATGTAGAGGGGCAACGTGTCATATCTAAATGTTAATTTTGATCGGCGTATTGCACTCCAAGCCATTTATTGTATGAAAAATTACTGGCATCCATAACCAGAATAATTTTTATTTATGCAACAGTTTACAGTATTTTTTCTCCTCAAAATTGTCACTGAGTATTGCTGTGTAGTAAGCAGGAGCAGCTAGAAATGTATTTGAGGAGTGCTGGCTTAACACCCGCCCCGTCCGGTTCTGCTGTAGAGAAATAGATGGGAAGCGATGGCCGAAGTGCTCCCGGTAAGCAGGTGTGGTAGGTCGGGCTTAGCGCCGACGCCAGCAAATGTGCGTTCTGCTGTTAGCCGGTGGCGTGCTCGCGTGTCGTTCAGGCCGTGCCCAGCGCCGCCGCCTGTGGTTGCTGCTCAGTCCCTTCATTCTGTGGGCTGTTTCAATCCTGGAGGAAACACAAAGCATGCTGTTGACATTTGTTAAATGTTGCTAGCAGCATTGGAGGCCAAAGTGATCGGCTTTTTGGGAAATTGGGGTACTTTGGCTTTGCCAGAGATGGCGCCTCGTATGAAAGAGTATAAAAATCAGTTGTCTGCCACTTTTAATGCTTGAAAATCTTAGTATGGCATCTTGGAATCGTGGAGGAACCTATTAAGATAAAGTCCATTTCTGTATAATTTTTCTTGGAGAGGAAAGGCACATTTCTGGCATTTGTTACTTTACGGTAAAGGTTTTCTAAACCATCTCCCACGTGTTATTACAGAGGGAAGAGTGTTCTCAGTCTGTGGCTTGTAACCTGGCTTCTGTTTATGAGAAGGAGCTGAGGGAGGAAACCTGGCAGCTTGTGACAACTTAGAAGTTAGGTAGTAGTGTAAACATACCTGCTTGGATCCGTAAGTAGCCCGGAAGCCAGAAACAAGGATTTCTTTCCACCCCATCTGTGTGGGAGATGGGATGTGGCAGTAACTGGAGTCCCGAGGCGTGGGCAGTGGCACGTAGACTCCCCTCTCCGCACAGCCGTGGACGTGTGGGGCTCCTTGCCAGATAACGCTATGGACACAAGGCATTTAAATGGGATGACATTCGGGAGGGAGGGGCTGAGCAAGTATTCGGATGAGAGATTCCCCCAAGGTTACTAAATACAGGCTCAGGAAACTCCTGGAGCTGAAAATAGCCAGAGCCTTGCCTGACACAGGGCACGCTGCGTAGCTGCTCTCACACGTTGAGTCAACTGATGCAGCAGAACAGCTAGGAGCTGGGGTGGTGGTGGTGGTGGTTGTTGCATGGGGATATCGTGAAAATAAAAGCCCTGAAACTTGGGGTGACTGAATTTAAGAATTGTAATGGTGGAAGCAAATGCCAAAGTTCTAGCTGTGTGGTGGTAGCCACTGAAGGGCATCTCTGGAAAAAATCGTGGCTGATCTTGGGTATGCTGGCTTCAGCCCAGAGGTGCCCAGAGAACACCTCCTGGTTTTCCATTTTACAGCCTTTCTTTAAGGTTTCCTGGGCAGTAAGGTGAATTGAAAAGCAGGTTAAGATGGGATAGCTGCCCAAGCACTGCATACCCGGCAGTGTTTGCTGTTCTGGTATCAGTGTAATTATCTTGCAAATCTTCTGTTTAGAGGAGACCCACGTACAAAGTATTAAGAGCTTAAAAAGGCTTAAAGAAGCTTCCTTTATAAATTTCAGTGTTGCTAACAGCACATTTTTGTATACTCGAAAAATCTAACTGCTGGAGTAACTTAGGGAAAGCTGCTTGGGCGCACTTGGAATGTATTTGCAAAGTGAGCAGAGAATGTGTTGGGTTTTGGGGTTTTTTTTGGGGGGGGTGGTGGTGTTTTGTTTGTTTGTTTTTCCATTTCAGTGGGGGTCTTGCTGTACTTCAGGAAGCAGGTTGGTTTTAGCTTACCTGCAAAGTTTGAGCGATGAACACACAACTTGTCGGCACGTCTCTCCAGCTGTCCTGCTAAGTATCCCCGACCTCCCTGCCCAGGAGAACCGTCGGCATCCACTGGTGCTCCTGGAATCTGACGCACTCCCTGCAAGGCACTGCGTGCCCTTGGAGGAGCAGCGAGGCCAGAGCGAGCGGCTTGTGCGCCTGTGACGCAGGGCGGCCGACAAAGGAGGCATTCAGTCACCAGCGGAGGATCACGTTCCAGAAGCGAATCTGAACTAATGCTCTTAACCCTGCCGGAGCTGAACAAACACACAGCGGATCTGGTTCTGTGCCCTGCTTATTTGCCTTAACTTCTCCAGACTGCACGGTCTGTAAATGTCCCTGTCTCACCGTCCTGCCTGTCCTCCCTTTGAGATCAGCACGTAAGTGTAGCAGCACCCACCCGGGTCCCCCCTTCTTCCCAGTTCATCACCACTGCTCTGCAGGTGCCGTATTGTCCAACTCATGAAGTCTCAAACTCGTAGCACTGGCTGAAAAATAGGAGACAGTTCCTCAACTCTCTGGTCACTGAAGGGTGCACCTCCTTTTGCCAAACCAGTTATTCCAATTTCTCTCTTTAATAGCTTTGTATCGGCTATTGCTTTTAAAGACACTTGCAAAGGTGGATTATGTCTGAGGGCCTGTTGTCTCAAAGCACTTGCAAAATGGAAAGAGCTCAGTTTAAACTGCTGTGGCTTGTTTCCGAGTCAGTAGATAACTTGACAGGAAGGCTTTTGGGTGTGAAGTTGTGTACTTAAATATAGTGTGAATTCTGACACGTGATGTTGCTTGCAGGTCGAGGTGAGCCATTTCTGTCTCCATCCCCTCAGCAGAAACATGTAGACTGTGCTTGTCGTGGAGTCCTCAGCTTCCATCCCATTCTCCTCCAGCTCCTGTAAAGTCAGGATAGGTACCAATCAATGGAAGATGATCCATGAGATGCCAAACACCAGTGTTTGATTGGTAAAAATCAGCAGTACAATAAGCAATTTGAAGTAGTTCCTATGGGTGGCAGAAGACAGGAAACTTCACTCGTATTATCGCCTGTTCCAAGAGCGGCAGTGAGGTCTGTAACCCCTGTTGTACCCTGCGTTCCTGATCCCTGACATGTTTGCATCATGGACTCACAAGGTATGTTGTACGACAGGTCTTGGGCCGAAGGGAAGGCTTGTCGTTGCCCAGCCGCTTCTCGGGAAGAGGCATATGACCTTTTATGAGTAGGTTTACTGATTGCAGCTGAGGGAACCCTTGGTGGGCTTGCCAGTAATCAAGGAGCGTGTGTTTCGGAAACAAATGCTGCAGCAGACAGCACTGCATTCAAAAAGACATTATAACAGTATACCTTGAAATGATTAGCAAGCTGAGGCTTTCAAGAACGTCCTTCTGATAGATGCATGTGTGTATGTCTGCATGCGCTAAGTGGACTGCTCGTGGGAGCTCTGTGTAGTGGAAACTTCACCCAAATATCGATCCAGCAAATATGACCTGCCTGAGTAATCAGACCTTGGGTTTTTATAACCCGGGGAAATTATCTAAATAGGCCATAGAATCATGGAATCCTTTAGGTTGCAAAAGACCTTTAAGACCATCAAGCCCAACCATTCCCCTACCTCTGCCATCCTGCCCCCAAACCCTGGCCCTCAGCACCACGTCTGCCCGGCTGTTAAATCCCCCCATGTCTGACTGCGAATATCCTGAAAATGACCTAACTACGAGTCAGTTGGAGTGTGTTTCGTTTTATTAATGTTTTCCAACCTAATGACAACTTGCTTTTTTAGAATTAACTGATCTTAGTTTTTTATCTTCAACGTATTTTCAGGTGAATCTGGGAAATTTTGAACATCTCACCCTGTAGGGACAGTTGAAAATACCAGTGTGGATCAAGTAAATTCTCTGTCCTGGCATCCTTCTAGTGTAAAGATTTCCAAGTGTCCGTGGGGCAGTTGGCACCCGCAGTGAGAGGGAGGTTCGTAGCAACCTTGGGGCCAGACGCATGGAGAGGAGTGTGTCCTGTAGGGTGTTTTGTGGAAGGCTGAACAACAGGAAGGTGGGGAGGAGTGATTGTTTCGGAAATAAGGGGAAGAGACCATCTCCTGTTAATGGATTGCTACTTGTTGTGTACTTGTGTGCCAGATCTCTTATGACATGACCCAAAAATAAATCTAGGAGACAGGCAGAGGGGGGTTTGGATCTGCTTATTTCTTAATGGAAGCTGATTCCCCCTCTGTTGTATCTCCTCCTCTCTATGCTGTGGTTATTTAGTTAGAGACCTCAAAAGTTTGTTGTCTTAACTTGTGCTCATGCAGTCCTTTTCCCACACTTCCAAAAATTATACTTTGCCTTATTTGCAGCATAAAATGGAAATCAAGACTTGGTGGTGTACGGCTGGCTTTGAACAAACTGGTGCGGGAAGTACAGAGATGTCTTGATGTGAGACTGAGCGCGGTCGGGTGCTGCTGTGACAGAAGTGGAAGTGTTAATGGTGAAGAAAGCGTGCTTGCTGCAAGCGCTGTCCTTCGCTTGTCACCAAAGTCTTTTGAGCTTCTTCCCTTCAGTTCTGTTCCCAGTCCCCCATTCAGGTCCCTGGGACACTGGAAGAACTAACATCCCCTCAGCAGAAACATGTAGACTGTGCTTGTCGTGGAGTCCTCAGCTTCCATCCCATTCTCCTCCAGCTCCTGTAAAGTCAGGATAGGTACCAATCAATGGAAGATGATCCATGAGATGCCAAACACCAGTGTTTGATTGGTAAAAATCAGCAGTACAATAAGCAATTTGAAGTAGTTCCTATGGGTGGCAGAAGACAGGAAACTTCACTCGTATTATCGCCTGTTCCAAGAGCGGCAGTGAGGTCTGTAACCCCTGTTGTACCCTGCGTTCCTGATCCCTGACATGTTTGCATCATGGACTCACAAGGTATGTTGTACGACAGGTCTTGGGCCGAAGGGAAGGCTTGTCGTTGCCCAGCCGCTTCTCGGGAAGAGGCATATGACCTTCTATGAGTAGGTTTACTGATAGCAGCTGAGGGAACCCTTGGTGGGCTTGCCGGTAATCAAGGAGCGTGCGTTTCGGAAACAAATGCTGCAGCAGACAGCACTGCATTCAAAAAGACATTATAACAGTATACCTTGAAATGATTAGCAAGCTGAGGCTTTCAAGAACGTCCTTCTGATAGATGCATGTGTGTATGTCTGCATGCGCTAAGTGGACTGCTCGTGGGAGCTCTGTGTAGTGGAAACTTCACCCAAATATCGATCCAGCAAATATGACCTGCCTGAGTAATCAGACCTTGGGTTTTTATAACCCGGGGAAATTATCTAAATAGGCCATAGAATCATGGAATCCTTTAGGTTGCAAAAGACCTTTAAGACCATCAAGCCCAACCATTCCCCTACCTCTGCCATCCTGCCCCCAAACCCTGGCCCTCAGCACCACGTCTGCCCGGCTGTTAAATCCCCCCATGTCTGACTGCGAATATCCTGAAAATGACCTAACTACGAGTCAGTTGGAGTGTGTTTCGTTTTATTAATGTTTTCCAACCTAATGACAACTTGCTTTTTTAGAATTAACTGATCTTAGTTTTTTATCTTCAACGTATTTTCAGGTGAATCTGGGAAATTTTGAACATCTCACCCTGTAGGGACAGTTGAAAATACCAGTGTGGATCAAGTAAATTCTCTGTCCTGGCATCCTTCTAGTGTAAAGATTTCCAAGTGTCCGTGGGGCAGTTGGCACCCGCAGTGAGAGGGAGGTTCGTAGCAACCTTGGGGCCAGACGCATGGAGAGGAGTGTGTCCTGTAGGGTGTTTTGTGGAAGGCTGAACAACAGGAAGGTGGGGAGGAGTGATTGTTTCGGAAATAAGGGGAAGAGACCATCTCCTGTTAATGGATTGCTACTTGTTGTGTACTTGTGTGCCAGATCTCTTATGACATGACCCAAAAATAAATCTAGGAGACAGGCAGAGGGGGGTTTGGATCTGCTTATTTCTTAATGGAAGCTGATTCCCCCTCTGTTGTATCTCCTCCTCTCTATGCTGTGGTTATTTAGTTAGAGACCTCAAAAGTTTGTTGTCTTAACTTGTGCTCATGCAGTCCTTTTCCCACACTTCCAAAAATTATACTTTGCCTTATTTGCAGCATAAAATGGAAATCAAGACTTGGTGGTGTACGGCTGGCTTTGAACAAACTGGTGCGGGAAGTACAGAGATGTCTTGATGTGAGACTGAGCGCGGTCGGGTGCTGCTGTGACAGAAGTGGAAGTGTTAATGGTGAAGAAAGCGTGCTTGCTGCAAGCGCTGTCCTTCGCTTGTCACCAAAGTCTTTTGAGCTTCTTCCCTTCAGTTCTGTTCCCAGTCCCCCATTCAGGTCCCTGGGACACTGGAAGAACTAAGCAAAGGTAATCCCGTGAATAAATCTTGCCAGTTCCCATAATTACGTTGCTGTCGGTTGTGATAACAACGGTTTTCTTGGGGCTTTGGGACATTAGGAATGAGTTTGCAGCGTGCTGGCTGTTTTGCTACCGTCCTTCCATATGAGAAAGGTGAAGGGGATGCTTCTGGGCTGCCTCCCTTACTACTTCACCAAGCACTGGTTAAAAATGCGCTGTGTCTGGCAGGGGGGAATTGTCTCTAAATCTTCTAAAATGGAAATGGGAACTAAGAATATTCTGCTTTTTTACAGTTAAAACAAAAATGTAAAATGGAAACTGCCCTAAAACATAAAAGCAAACGCTGGGGCAGGGGGGAAGTGGTGTTTAGATAATGGTTCCCTGCTGCAGATCTGCCTGCGTCAAACAAAAGGAGATCGTTCTTTTCTTATGTACCTTTTCACTGGGACTGGGCGCTCCCTTACGGGTAGCTGTGTGATTTTGTCTCCTGTAGGCTTTCATTGTCTCTGCAGGAAGAGCGCAGAGGCAAACAACTGTAGATTAGGAGCAATTTGCAAAATAGTTCAGTGATTAGCACGCCTTTGGAGATGTTTTCTGTGTAAGACCTGCATCACAAATTTTACTGGCTTGCTATGTTTGAAGAATTAACTGTGAGGAGGATTAAAGTGACATCTTAGACGTTGGATAAACATTCTCTCAAAATCCCTTGCGTTGTCTTTAAATCAATTAATTTGACTTCATTAATCCACAAGCATACTGGGTTGGTGAACTTGCGCAAGTGATCCATTTAGGCTGAATTTCTCCAGTGTATTTTAAGGAGCACTTCAGTGTGTCTGGCAAACGAGACGCAAACATGGCAGTGAAATGTGGAAATACGCCTGCCTGCCTGTGCTAGGGTGTAAACTGGGAACCCTGCTCCGGTCATTGCGGTGCCCGTTCTAAGTAGCCGTTGGTAGGTGGTTAAACCAGCCTTTGCAGACATTCCCCATCCTTGCTGCTGCTGCTGTTGGATAAGAAAGAAGGACAACAGCCTGCTCGTGTTCCTTTTGCAACGGTGCTGCTTGCATAAATACGTGTTACGTGGGAAGGAAAAGGGAGAGGAGAATCCTCAGCTCCAGAGCTTCATGTTTGTGCTTTGCGGGCACGGCTGATGTACAGCACGAGGAGATGTTTTTACTTCTGTAAAGTCTTGAAAAGCAGCCCTCGGTGCTCAGGTATGGACACTTGATCTTCTAAATCATGTGGACAGTTGGTTCGCTTATAATTCTGCATGGATAATAAGGATGGTAGCATTCACCTGAAAAACATTTGAATATTAATAAAAGAAATTATTTACTCTTTCTGGAAGTCCTGCAGGTTTCTGCAAGCTGTAATCTATTTAAATGCATTCGTCAGGGATGCAGTGTCAACTCTGAGCCTGTCCGAAGCTCGAGGCTGTGCTGGTTACGGTGTATTAGACTGGGGCTGTAAAACCGTGCATATATTCTGAATAAGCTAGCGCTGCTCTAGGGGGTGTTTGGCTGCTGTTGGGAATGACTGGTTCTTAGCCACCTTGTGATACGGAGAATGCGACTGGCAAGTAACATCAGCAATTAATCTTTGTAGCATCAAAGCCATCAGAATTGCTTCTCAGATGGTGCTTCTGCCTTGAAGGAATGCTGCGGGTGGTATCACAGGCAGAGCTGAGTGCTGTCATGTTACAGGCTGAAATAGAAGTGGGCTTCTCTCATGCCATTCTGGCTCGCTGTCGCTCAGGAACTCCAGAAACTGAACTACTTCCATGAAGATACTAAAATGCAGTGTAAGGAAACTGGGCCCTGAGCTTGGCAGCCTGTACCCCAGCGGAGCAGAAGCCACCGCTGTGCAGGGTCTTCCTCAGGGGGAAGGACCGGAGGGTGGTGGAGCAGAAGCCACCGCTGTGCAGATGAAGGGTCTTCCTCAGGGGGAAGGACCGGAGGGTGGGCGAGTCTGGCATACAGGCTAATTGATTCAGGTGAGATAGACCTTCTGTTTTCTGAAAACTATGTAACAAGTGTTAGAGTTTTTCAAAAGATGCAGCGGAGGTCCGCGTGTGTGACAAGGAAGATAGGCGTGAGCTCTAATCAAACCTTGCCATGCCGTTCTGCCATCAGCGTAACTTTGGTAGTAAACGAAGCTGTCGGTGTGAATCGCTTCTACGTCCTTCTCACCGGCTCAGAAATAATCCTGTATGTGGCGGCAAACGTGTCCTTACAGGGTCTGCGTGGCTTCACACCAGAGAGGAGGAGGCTACAGCCGATGCCGAGTGTCTCGGGGCACTGGTGGTGCTCAGCAGCACGTGCTGATTCATGACCTGCTCATCAAAAACATGTGTTTACATTCGAGTGCCAGTTTATGCTCCATCGTCTCTTGGATCGGGGAGGGATCTGTCCTTCCTAGAAGAGCAGGTACACGGGGTTTGGAGCCTTCCCTCCGGATGCGGGGAGGGGTACAGCAGGCTGGCTCTCTGGCGGTTCACGCTGATGCTCCTCCCAGCAGATGGGCGGCTTTTTGGGCTTCCTGAAAACTTGGCAGATGAGTGAGCAGTGCGAGCAGAGAGAGCGTGATGTGTTTGGGAGGGTTGCTGTTGTTAAGAGATAAGAGTGCGGTTACGGACACGGGCCCTTCCTCCTCGCTGGAGACGTGCTGGAGGGCGTTCATGGGATGGGTAACTCGTCTTACGTTTTGTAAACGTTAGCTCTTATTACTGCAATCCTACAGCAAACAGGGCGGGGTAGAAAGGCTTTTACTGACCAGCTCTGCTGCTGGCAGCGTGCTGGGGCTCTATCCAGATGGACAAAAGCCATTTGACTTCCAGCCTGGTGTACAGAGGAGTGTCTAGCCGCTGGAGGCTGGGCTGGTGGGTGCTCAGGGTGGGTGTCCCAAAGCACTTCCGTGCAATAATCTTGAAGATGAGGCAAGAATGCAATGCAAAATCCAAATGCGAGTTTCCAAGTAATCCTAAATGAGCTGAAGAGGAGTCCAAGGAAGCAGAAGTGCCATGCCGCGGGCTGCTTGCTTCCCAGCAGTCAGTTACTTGGGTTTGGTTCTGCTTCAGCAAGTGGAATTTGATTTCCCGCCCCCCAACTACTGTGTGAATGGAGTTGTATGAATCGCAGTTCTCTGACTAATGTGAATGGAGCAGGGAGACCAGCTGGTTTGCCCTTACCCAGAGGCTTGACTGAAATAGCCTGCAGAGCCCCATGGGAAAGGGGGCTGGTTCTCTTCCGAATCCCCCCCCTGGTTTTGTCTCCCTTGAAAGCTGGGGGTTGGATGGGGAGTGTATTTGCTTCCCACCTGCAGGACTCAGTGCTTTGTCTGCTGCTGCTGGCTCTAACGTTTGGCTGTGCAAAAATTAGGTAACAGGGGTGGAGAGAAGCCTGTTACCTGGGTGCTGCAAAATCTTGAGGATTTTGGTCACGCGCGTTTCAACTTTTACATTTTGTTTTTGCATTGTTGCAAGTGCTTCCTCTCTCTTGTAAATGATCTTGGTTATCTTGATGACTAGCAGGCTTTCAGTCTTCCTCCTTGGCTGCCCCTGCACTAGCTTATTTGTCATAAAACCTGCTATCTTGTGTGATGCCTGGTTCTGAGCCTGGATGACTTTACCAGCTCCCTTCAAAGAAAATGTCGAAATTTATTTCTTTATTGTGTGCTCCAAGCAGCAATGTGTATCCCAAGAGCTGTTCTGTCTGCTTGCTCTTTTAGTTAAAGAAAAGGTGCTCTGGGTGTGGCTTTTGAGAGGTTCTGAGATTCCCATGACATTGGGAATAGATGGCTTCTGGTCTATGGTGCCCCTGGCCCAAACCAGGTGGTCAGTGGCCCATTTCTGGCAGCTCCGTTTCCCACGACGTTCTGGGGGTGGTGGTCTCATTCAACCCACTCTTGCCTGGTGCAGGCTGGGAGGAAGATGAGCGTCCGTCCAAGATACACCCCTGCGGGAAGGCTGGTGCATGTGGGGAGTAGCAGAGCTGCTCTCTGTGGGATGCCACCGAGGGGATGAAGAAGCACTCCAGGCCTCCTTCAGATCCAGTGAAGGCTGCTTATAGGCCTTATTTGGACACAGGGACCTTCTCTCTTTCTGCATCCTTTGGGAAATACTATTCTTAAAATGCAGCTGCCCGTCTTAGCCCCGTCTTTACTGTATATCCTAGCTATTGGAAGACCTTGAGGTGATCTTCACATTGTGATAACTCCTAATATTTTAATAGAAGGCTTGCTGTTAGCTCTGCTTCTTGATCTGTAATTGTTTTATTTGTTTTTTTAATAGCGACTCTTACAACGACACGAGAAGTAGCCAGCAGCAGGTCTTCTGAGCTCTGACTCTCGTATTCGTAGTGGGTTCTAACCCGATGAATCAAGTGCTCTGGGTAGAAACACAGTTTCAGGTAGGTAAATGAATTTTGCATTTTCAAGCACGTGTGTTTTGGAGTGGTGTGTTTTTTCAACACTTTGTTTACTGTAAACTGATACTAAATGTGACCTGAATTAGGATAAGTTCATGTTTTGGACTCACACGAGCGATACCCATTTTGCTTTGGATTAATCTTTTTTTGCATGCTTGCCAATGGCAGCGTTCAGCGCTGGCAGTGGTCGGTGGTCCTCGCTTGGGTACTTGCATCGCCTGACTTCATGTCCGGCGGCTGCATGGCGCTGCTTCTTTTGGCACCTGTAGTAGCTGGTTTCTTTGAGCCAGGCTTTCATTTAAAAGCACGGCTTAGTAGGGAATATGGTGATTGCCTCCGCTTTCTGTTAGCTTGGCCGTTGCTTGTGCCAGCCTGGCGCTCTCTTCATTCAAGAACAAAGCTTACGCTGATAGTCTAACTCCAGTACTGGATTGTACTATCTCAGGAAAAGGCAACTGAGAGATCACTCGATGGGTTCCTTTTTCCTGCTGCCAGGTGAGGATAACTAAGAGCAAAGCTTGAGAAGTAGGTTGTGTGTAAATGCCCCAAATCCCTATGTACCAGGAAACCTTTGCCCTTCTGGCTGTTGGGGCTGTGGGGTGCTGTACTGGGTAGACAACCAGACTGGTGGCTGGAATAGCTGGTTTCTGTTGCCAGTTCTGGCTTTGATGTGGATGAATGACCTGCAAAGAGAAAATAAACGGGGGGCGTATGCCCTTTCTTGCTGCTCGTAGTTACATCTTTGAGTTCTAATAATCCTTTGAAGCTGCGTGAGGATTTGCTGAGAGGCATCTCTTAAGGATTTCATGGTTTTGTTGGTTTTTTTCTGTGCTGGAAAGCTCAGCGACTGATTTAAAAGCTAGAGGAGGAGGTGGTATAAGAACAGAAAATGAAAGTGGAGCTGTCGGGCATAGAGATTTTGATAAAAAGTGGTTTTAAACCTGTTATTTGTTTGTGTGTAACCTGAGTGACCAGCACGCTAAACAAACCCGTCTTTGGTGCCTTCCGTTCTCAGTTGGGAAAGCTGCTGCCTTTTTCTCAAAATGTTCTTGAATATTGGTGAGGCTAAACTGGTTGATTCCGCGAGGCCGCGGCGAGGGCCAGAGCAGAGCAGCAGCTTTCAGTTGTGGTTCTTCCTAACGCAGCTGCGATTCTTCCTTTTTGGGAAGGTTGGTCCTAGCCCCTCTCCTGCAGATGTCGCGGTACTGGACGCCTCTGTCTCAAGTGTTGTACAATTCAGCTGGTGAGTAGCGCTTCCACAGATACTATAAGGAATACCATCGCTAATTGGAAATAATGAGAAAAACACCGTGACTAAACATCAGCACTGCTGGGATTGAGGGAACTGGGTTTTTCTGTGTCGCACGTAAGGTGAATCGCTATGAGCAGATTTTGAGTTTGCAGCTGATGCTCTCTGAAAGCTGGCACCTGTGAGAGTTGCTCTGGGCAGAGCGTAATGGCTAGACTTGTTTTCATCAGTCATGAAAAATTCCTACTTTCCCCGCCCTCCTTCAACTATATAAATATTAAGAGTGGAAAGAGACTTTTACCAAACACCAGAAGCTCATGGCACTATATTGATTCGACTGTTGTTTCCCCTGGGTCCAATATGCAGATGTTATCAATAATGTAGTAATCTGTTACTTAAAGTTTAATGCAGATTTCCTGGGTGTTGAGCATCAGCAGGTACAGTGCAAGAGGTGCAAGCTTGCTTTGTTCCGTGCTAAATGAAAAAGATTCAAACCAAATACGGTTGGGCATGCGGCATACCTTGTACTTTATGCAGAGATATTATTTGCAGATGCCTTGGTGTCTGGGACCTCTGTATTTTTTGTGTGTGTGTGTTTATTTATTTGTCTCCGTATTTGGCAAAGTACATTCTAAACTCAGGGGGTCACAAAGCGCACGGATGAATTGTTGCTGAAATCCAGGGATCTAATATAGTGGAATATCGAGATACTGCTGTCTCTTCAATGGCTTTTATTTTTGTATGAGTATTATTTTTTTTTGAACAAAGGGAAAACATCCCTTTCCTCAGTTGTTTGCTGTGCAGAACTTGAGCCTTAAAATAATCCAGGAAGCCTTTTGTTATATAAATACACTCATCCTCCAGCTTGCCCTGTCTGTGCTTGATGTAGCTGCTTGCTGAATCCTCTTTTAAATTCAAACTTCAGTGGCTTTGAAAGAGAAACCCGATGTTACTTTTGTACAGCACCTCATGATGCTGACCATGGCAGCTCTCTGGACTCGGGGAGCGCAGCAAACGCACGGGCTGCTGTATAATGACAGCCTGGCAGTGACTATTTAAGGCAGGCAGTGCAATGCAAAGCGGTGGTTTATGGCTGGAACGCAATTTCTGGATCTCTTAATGATTTTCTTTTAAGCTTGTTGCTACCAGATATGCTTATACCTACCAAATGTAACTCCATGGGAACAGAGCCTCAGCATATGTGGTATCATTTAAAAATATTTTTCCCTAAGTTGCTTGTTCAGAAAAAAAAAAGTATGTGAATACGGCAAGGGCTCGCAATGGCTAAAACTAAATTCCAGTGCCAACTACTCAGTAGTTTAACAGGCACTGAGATTTTCAGCCATCAGATTTCCCAATTAAATGGGCTACAGTTGGCTAGAGCAGATGTTTAAAAAAAAAAACCCACAAAAAAAACACACCCCTCCCTCCCCCCCCCCCA